TCTCAACGTTTCTGCTCGTGCATGATACTTTCACAATCGTGAAGTTTCGTTTGACCGGCGGTTTTTGAAAGCTGCAGGTACTTTAAAATATGCGTGACAGCTATGACGTTGCCTGTAGGGTTTTCACCGTGTTATAGGAGCTTTCTCAGCTGGTGAAGATCGCGAGACTCGAGAGTGGATTGTTGAACTACTCTCTATTAATACTTGACTATATTACCTACATTATTTTGAAGTTATCGCGCAATTAATTACGATATCTCGCTGTGTGGTGGATATTGCTACTGCTTGGTTTTTTTGATTCATCTTAATTATACTCAGATCAAATATACTAGTATAAGATGTTTGAAGACTTGATATTTTTTGGAATCAAATTCTTCTTGGTCAGTTACTTATGATTGTATGTTTTAGTGTGTTATGTTTAGTAAGTACCCGTTATCTTTAATATAATATACAGAAACTGTGACATTTTACTAATTAAATTCAGACTATGACCGAATTCTGCACACATCAAACTATAACAATCCGTTGCTGCTGAAAATCTTTTGTTTAACCGGATATGCGAGGGGAGGAAGGGGATTGTGCAACCGAAACAATCCGCCAATGGGAACTCAGCACTACTACCGGCCGCTATGGCAATACAATGACAATGGCCTAAACAATTTTGGTTTAGTGTGGGATGTGTCGCTAAAGGTATTTAAATAAATTCACATTGGTAGTTATGTTTATAAATCTGAATTTTATGAGCCATTAAAATTTTTCCTATTTAAAACGTCTAGTTTTTCATCGTAGCTTGTTTTGATATTGACAGTTATTATCCCATTGTGGTCTGTATCATCATTTTTGATAAATTCTATTCCTGATTATTCATATTTTGTCATATGAAGACAATTTTTTAAAGTGTCAATTAGCCGCTTACTACATGTGAATGTTATAAAAAGGAAAGGTCAATTCGATAGTAAATGAGAAAGTTAATCGTGGAAAGTGCACGCAAGCGTATTTGCGGTGGCACATCTATTGGCGGATCTTTACCAAAAAATAAAAATGAAACAAGTCTATCTATTGCTCTATACAATAATGTACACATGTCATTTATTCTCTCTTAGATTTGTCTTATAAAATCCTACTCAAATTACAAATTGTATTGAATTATTGGTCATAGTCTTTTATTTCCAAGAGTTGGGTATTTATTTATCTAGGTAGCTTAATAATTGGAAGAAAAACTGTATAATACGTTGTTTAGATGTACAATAACATAATTAGGTCTTATTTAGTTTTCAAAACATTGATTACGTCGGATTTTTCAACCATAGAAGACTTTACAGTAAGCGCAAACTTAATATTATAATACCTTCAAATTCTAATGCCAAATAATTTATCTTCTAAACTCTCAATATAAGTTTTCATTGGATTAAGACATAGCTCTATATAAAATGTTGTATGTGTGCAAAATTGCAATTTAAACAAGCATTTTGAAGATGTTTTGTTAAAGAGAGTTAACAGAACAGCTTTCGATAGTAATTTAAAAAGAGCGCAGTAAAAGTACTAATATGGTTTGCCGCTAAGCTGCGCATTATGAACAGCATGCAAGCGGGCTTAAGCTTTCACCGGTACAATGGAGATGGTGTAGAGGTAGAGAAAGGGTCGGCGCAGCTGTCCTGCGGGCGCAGTGCGAGCGGACGGGCGCTCCGCCCTCGCTTGCCCCCGACCGCCGCGCCGCCGCCGCTCCTCGCGAACGCGATCAGTCGCCCGTCACACGTCGAGCGGATCGGACGTCTGTCACGCCACCTCGCGCGAGCAACCAACCATGCGGTGAAGTGAAACTGTCAAACGTGATCCCATTCCGTACACTGTGAACTCTTACCGCTTCACAATAAACGCGTGGTGATTTGTGTAAACGAAGTGGTGCGACTGATTTGGAAAATTGGATTATACAGACACATAATGGCCTTAGCTAGGTGAGCTATTTTGGTTGTTGGAGTCAACGCGGAACTAGTTTATTTTGCTATGTTCATCGAAGGACTCTACGTCGTTTAAGTCGTTATTTGATTTCGTTAAAATAAAACAGGTATGCAATTGATTGTGAATAGATGTCGACAGATATTGCGATCTTCGTTTGTCCGTGTTAACCTCGATACGTTCACCTTTGTAAAGTAGAGTAGTGTTCCTGATAATGTGTTAATATCAATTAGACAGCAATGCTACAAACGGCGAAAGTTAATGTGCCCCGCATGCGTATATAACTTTCTTTGTTGTGTAAGCTGAACGTCGAGCGACAAGTAGAGGGAGCGACTTAGAAATCGAGTCACTTTTACAGCCATTTGTTTGTTTCACCATTAACTGATCACCTCACTATGTTGATCTAAATTAACATTGTTTAACGGATATCGGGCCCGTTTCCCGCAGCGCTCTCGAATACGTTGGCCTAATGGGATACCGTTGTTTCCTCTTTATTTCTTCGCACCCTCGTCTGTTACGGTTACCCTAAAAAGCGAACCCCAAATGTTGCCTTTGCTATGTTCCCTTGATTTTATGGATTTTCTGTGAACGTCTAAACTTTGTGTAAAACAAGTTTGCTTACATTTATGTGTACGTATTAATGTGTTATTGATATCGCTGTTTAATGTGTAACTACTATAGATTAACGCATTCTATTTTCCGAAAGTCTACATTTGTCGCTCAATAGGTACTTTTCGGAACATTTCAAAATGTTGCAAATTGATAAACGCATTCACTTCTGTTACAAGGAAACTAGTTTCTGTTCCATGGACACACCATGGAAATGTTTTATGATGCGAGTTAGATTGTCGTATTATATTTTAACAAGGACTCGTTCGCTCGCCTGACTGTGGGTAGGTGCAGGTAGCAAAATACCGATGCCGGAAAGCGCTCGCTTCTTAGTTCCCAATTTTTTCTTCTCTTTTATTAGGATTCTAAATATAAACTCTTCGTCCTTTGTTGTATCACATTAGCAATATTCAAAGAACTCTAGTAATATTTATCACAAACAAACTGCCGTTTATTTAATAAACAATGAGTGCCATTGTACTACTTTGTAATACCTTCGTCATCAACAATTCTACAACATTGTTACAAGCATTACGGCTAGCCTTAGTTGTACATACTTCGTTATATCTACTTTTATTAATTCAGAGATTGGGTAGTGTCTTTATCATTTGATATATCTATGCCTGTACAATTTAATATATGTACACACATAGATATATAATAATAAGTAATGACTTATCTAACTGCATCGTCTCTAGAAAACTTACGATAATTTCTATCCCTGTACGTTATAGAGCTTTAATAAAAATCAAATTAAACTCGATTCTTATTATGTTAATTTTATAATGTGTTTGTATTACAATTAAACATAATTATGTATAGCATAGAATATAACGTAGGTATAGATCAGATAAGCTATCATAGCTATAAAGGTATTCAGTTTACGTTCCGTGCATTATAGTTATGAAATGAAGTTAAGGTTTCGCAGGGATGCGCTTCTCAGAGGTCAACGTCCTCTCGTCATGGAGGTTGCACGAAAGTCACCGGGTGCTCCTTCGTTTCGACTCGGTCCACCCTACTTGATTTATACGACAGGATACATTATGTATACCCGATCCCTTGAACTCAGGGCTTCTCAAAGTCATTTAGTACACAAAGAAATGTATCTTTGTTACCACAAAACTAAGTGCAAGTAGGTACCTACCAGATGATTTAATATGTTACACCTTTTTCTGAACCATAGTGCTAAATATTTACATTAAATAAACATTTTTTGGAATCTTAATGTTACAAAGAATACAATTTCACTATGTTAACGGTAGTCAATTTTTTATCTCAATAGATTTACGACAATCTATGTGACATTGACCACAGGATTCGTTTGATATTGTCTTGTTTTGATACTTTAGTAAATAGTTACGGATTGCGTTATCCGAGAAATATACATTAGTTGTTGCCTGTGTCTAAATCGATATCCACGCCTCGTGTACTGCAAAGTTAGCAAGCACGAGTAAGCAACCGTGGCCGGTCTCCATTAAATTTGATTGTGTTTGAATAAGTTGGGCGAGGTTATTTCGCAAGAGAGTATCAATTTAGCGGAGTGATCTCGGCCGGGCCCACTCGGCGCGCTCCTGTTCGTTGACAGCGGAATGCGATAACTAAACTGGGTTACCGCTGCGGCCGACGTGTATTTCGGTTACTATACTATTACTCATAAAACGAACACTTACTACCTTTTTGATTTAACTTGATAGGCTTAGTTTTACTGATACCGATGAAGCCTCATTACAATTTTATCTATCGGTATCGAAATTGCAGAATAATTTCAAGTGAAATATGAAAGTACATAAATACGAAAGTAGTTAATAATTCATTGCGTTGGTTATTTCTGTGTTGAGGCAAAGGAAAGTATATGTATGTTTGTCGTAGTAGTAGTAGTAAACTTTTTTTTTTTTAAATTGTTATTATTATGTTGTAATTCATAATTTTTTTTAATAATAGAAAATTCTTTATGAAGATATTTTATCGCTTATGCGTTTTGCAAGTCCAAGGCCATTTCGTTTTCGTTCGCGTTTTGTTCATTTTTGTACAAGCTTATCGATATTTTGCTATTTACAGATATTATAAGAACGCACGATACAACCACGTGACTCTTATCGAAGGAAAACATAAAAATGTTATTATAAAAGCTGTAACAGCTCAATAGCTGCCAGTTTGTCACCACGTTATTTGCCAATTAACCAGTATAAGTCACAATAACTAATGTGGCTGATTTATGTTAGACCACTTGTCCACAAAATTCAGAAAATTACATACAGTTCCTTAATTCATATTAAAGTAAACTCAGAGTTATAGTTTTTTTTTGATAAAATGAAAGCCCTATTTATAACTTTTTTTCCTAAAGAATATTACATAAGTCTTTTGTTATAAAATACAATATTTCTTTACACACGACGGAAGTTGTTTTAATGCTAGGTTGATGATACAGTTTTTTTTATGTTAATGACGTAAAACTAAATCCTTAATGCAAATTATTTTTAATATGAATATCAGTCTTCTGTTAATAAAATAGGAAGCAATTTGTATTTATGAATGTTGAGATATTTGTCAATTGCATTGAGCACTAAGCTGTCGGCTATAAAGGCCAAGGCTTACGTTATAAATGTTACGTCGCTCGATTATTAGATATTTATTGTATTTGTATTATATTAAAAAATGCAAATACAGACTCTGTGAGAAATAGCGTTGACAGTAAAAGTGTGATGAATAGACGAGCGTAAATATTAGCAAAGTTGTAAAATAAGAGTCCATTATGTGCTATCGTCAGCGCGGCGGAGGTAAGGAGTGTCGCAACTCGACTGCAACGCTCACCCGAGCCGTCGCTAAGCTGAAAGTGGCCCCGTGCAACTGACGAGACCGGGTCACGTACGTTCTCTCAATTTATATGTATGCTTTGCACACGCTAAATTCTGATGAACCATTGTTCTTTAATAGATGAACTTTAAACTGGATTATGAATTATGAAACCAATTAAACGCTTACACGGTGTGATGTGTTCATACGACTCTTAACAAGGTGATGTCCTAGAAAGGAAATTATAAACATGACGCTATGATGTAGTAATCTTGGATGAAGGAATGGCCTACTTTGAATATGATCGCGCGTAGAAGCAATTTGTCGAGGAAGCGTCTTGAAACGGGGACAACGAACATTACGCTGCTTACAGAAGACTTGCGTGTTGACCCATTTTGTACGTAACACGGCGTGGTGCGCCGAGGAATCGATGACAACAGCCGAATCTCAAGGCCCT